CCAACAATTGGATTTGTTAAAATACATAAGGCTGTCTGGATGACATCTTGGGAGTCCAAAAGGTCAATGTTTACGTCTTCTCCTGCCATTATCTCCTATTTAAAAATTAAATAAGAAGATGTATTGTTCTAGGTGGTAACTTAAACAGAAAAGTTTCTTTTTCCTGATAATTACTCTTATTTAGTGATCTAGCAATTAAACGTGTATTATCTTTTCAGCAAACGAGTAAACTTTATCAACTCTGTGAATATCTGAACTGTATCTTTTAAAAAGTTTCTAATTTTTTATTTTGCACCTCCATCAGAGGAATTATCAGTGAATAAAAAATGTTTTGGTAAATGCCCTTCTGGCATAAATACCTTAATCACTTTTTAAATGCAAGATAACAGTAATAATTCAGCTTGAAGAACGTTTATTAACTCAAAAATGCGTCTGACAGGAATAAACACGTCTAATTTCACCCAAAATAACCTAAAAACGAAGTGAAACTGTGATATCAAGTTTCCACAGGAGGGGGCAATATAACCTTATTTTATTCTAACCCAGACACTGTTAGTGACGACCAGCAGGAGTCGCGATGACTTCCTGTGGCTTCCGGTGACATCCGGTCGTTAGCTGTTAGCTTAAAATTAGCATCGGCTAGCGCTTTCCAAAAACACCATTTAATGACGGATTTCAAACTCAAACGTGGCAAAGTTTCAGCGATTAGGCTTCAAAGAAATGGAGCAGCGGATCAGAATGCAACTTTAAAGCGTTTTTCAACTTTAAAAAGTAGATTGAAATTCCCTATGAAGACAAGCCTCATTTCTGGGTCACGTGACTGAATCTACCAATGACGGAGCAACACGACCTGACACGTCAGAATTAGTCACCAATCACAGATCGTTTTTCCAGCTAGCGTGTAGCATTAGCCTGAACAAGTCCGGTCAACTTTTCGTCTTTTAAACTGTCAAAATGTACCATTTTCTGTTAAAAATGTAACAAATCAACTCTCAAAGCTTCACGGAGTCGGCGCTCCGGTCTTAAAACGTCTCTCCAACCATTTAAAACAACTCGTTCGAACTTATCAGAACCGAGCCGGACCAGAGCCTCGTCTGGAACACAGTTTAAACAGAATAAAGCGTTTCCACAGCTCAGCAAATTTGTCACACACAACAGACGTACAAATTCAGCATTTAAACAGACATATTGACTCACAATTTCAGCTTTCAAAACATCACTAGCTGCAAAACATAGCTGTATTTTCTCCAAGCATCGCATCTGCAAAAACGCTGCGTTTCACACAGCCACTCTGCACTTTTCATTTCATGCCAACATGTAAAATCAATTGTTACACGGATATAACAGTCCATTTATGAACCTGTCACGGGCCACCAGAATGTAGATGAACATATGCTGTCATATATTCATAAATTAAACGTATTCATTCATTTTTCTGGACTGAATAATAACGTGCATTGAATTTAATTAAATGTAACGTGAGGCGTTAATTTTCTTTGACCCATCAAATGAATGTGGTCATTTATTTACAGAATCAAAGTTTAACACATCACACATTTACATTAATTTGGCAAAATGAAAATAACAACAGGTTAATTTAGCAAGTTTTACAAGGAGGAAACAATACGGCGATTGTTTCCCTTGCTTCCAGCTGTACAACAGACACTTCTAAAAATATCTGGAATGATTTCTAGCAAAAGAAGAGTTTAAAGATGGAAATTGAAGTTTAGGGGGAGAGGAAAAGATGGATGAGGGAAATGTGTGTCGGCATCAGAACGGCACTCTCCGGTGAGTTCCCAGCTTCTTCCCCGGTACACTTAGGTGGTATAAATCAACTCTTTTACCTGGAGGAGGTGATTCCACTGGTACGGAGTTCCATTTAAC